ATTCGTTGGTCGACAGGCAAATATTTATGAGCTAATGTACAGAATGAGTAACTAGAGATAGAAATGAAGACAGCTGAAAATAAAAAATAATGTATCATTGAAAATAGAGGGAGGATTCACTATCCGTTGAATATAAACAACAAATAAAGTTAAGCAACATTGGTTAATTTTGTTGTTAAATAGAAATTTCGAGTGACCGCTCACTGATATTTTATTTCTTTGTTACCGAACTTGTTGAATCAAACTGATAGCCTTCTGTCGGAAGATGAGCATCCACGTGAGGCTACCTTATTGATATCACATTATGTAGTCTCAGATTACTTAATTCTTAGTTACCAGCTGGGCTATTTAAAATATGAATCCCATTCTAGGTTGTAAGAGTGGCATCATGTCTCAAACAATTTGTACATCGAAAGAGGCATAAGTCTTTCACAGTACAACCGTCCACTACACCCATTAAAGTGCTCATGATATCTGTATTTTGAAATTCTTCAAAGAAATTTAGAGGCAGTTAGTTTTCAGTTCACTTTATCTTAAAAGATGATGGACAGATAGGTGAGTTTTAAAGCGTTTGATTGCTATTTATTATGCAAAACAAAGTAAAATAGAGGATTAATATCGATTTACTACTTTAAGAACTGTAGATATATTCATGTTGTGTCCTCAGTAGACTAAGTGGCACGCGAATGAACCTATTAGCGATTCCGAACCATTCATTTGCAGGCTCCTTGGAACATGTTCAGAAAAACGAATACATGCTCATATTTCTTCCCTTTTGATTCACATACTTTGATGAGTACACGTGAATACATTAACAGAGTTGCGGGTGACGTTGTGTGGCTACTTGTTCATTTTAGAATGGTAAGCGGTTTGACTAGTGCTACATAAAGGGACCACTCTCGCTTGCGGATACTTTCTCTCAAGAGATGTCTATAACCATCTGCTTATACCCTTGGAAACACCATCTCTTTTATGTAAAAGCGGAATATATGCCGTTTTTATCCATCTGTCGCCATATTCCTTCTCTTTATGCATACTTTCGAATACTTCTTAATAAAATCTCTTGGATAACCATTGTCTAACAGATTTTTCTCACGCAGGACTAATTGATTATTTACTTTGTCTTCTCAGGAAAAGTTCCTAAATCTGCTGAACAAAGTTTTAACTAGTTCGCATTTTGTAGTTCATTGGGAAAAAGATGCTGCAGTTTAGATATTGTCCAATCCACATATCTTCACTGTAAATACTTCTCCAAATTGTACCATCATCACGTCTTTTGACTGACCAATCAAGGAAGTTTGGGCGATTTTCATGTTCATCCTCCGCTGTAAAACTCATCTTTGGGTGTACACAGTTCAAAATTTGAAGCAATCTTGAGGCATGATTCAGATGTTTGCAAATGAGAAATGTATCGACGACATAAAATATACTATCAGTGATACCCAGTTTTATCACATTCGCTTCCTGGTTTGATGTCATTATATCAGAAAATATTGAACCAAGTTAGATTATTATTGCTACTCATTTAATCTGTCAATAGAACTCGTTGTTGAACCGGAATTCAACATCTTTCGTATACAGAGTCAAAAGTCACTTGAGAAATAACTCAGATTGCTTACAAGTAGTTTGAATTGTACGATTGGCTGGAATTTTGATGAGTAGAAAGGAAATATTTAGGGATAAAAGATTCTTATTTGAAATATTAAAATTTTTCAGTCTTTCGACGAACTGAAAAGTGTCTATTGTATGTGTACATGATTACTGTATTCTGTGTTTGTCATTTAATTCCATTCTAATTCTGTATTTCTTCCAGACTGCTTGCAGTTGAGAAGTCGCTAAAAGAATGAGCTCAACTTATTCTACAAACAGTCTTGTTTTTTTGCTTTGATAAAGGTGATAAATCTATTTGATACTTGTGTTAGTTTATATTTTCAACCCACTGTTCTACTACTGCTCACTCGATTCTTTCGTTTAATACGAACTTCCCTTGGTACTTACCTGATATTATTTGAGCAACCCAAGAAGATTTTTGGTCCATATTTTTCGAAATCAGCAATCGATAGAAGTTGAATAAGAAATGAACGAAATGAAAGGATGATTTCAAATGGTGAATACTAAGACAATAAATAAAAATAGAGTTCAGTAAGCTCTTTTTATGTACACAACTAGGGATTTTTCTCGAGATCAGCAGTTGCGTCAGAGATGCTAAGAATAATATAGCGTACGGTCTTTTGGCAGTCTTTTTATACTGTGAATCGCTTTGAATAAAGAGCTTCAGGAGATTGTCTAGTGCTATGGAAACGTTCAGCCCCAACACAACTTACTGATCCATGAACTTACCTCTAGAAACACATTGCATAGCTTTTTTGAGATCTTTTTCACATAAACCATATCACTTGACCTAAATTTCCTGCGTCAAACAACAATCTGAATTGGTGAGCACACAAAAATGTGATTAGGTAGGACACATTGCTAAATAAAACATAATTGTCTGGATTTGCGGTTGAGGTTTGAGAATAAAGTCATAGTTTAAAATTCTGTCTGCACCACTTCCACTTCTAATGACGGTGAATATTTGTATCTCATGTGGATGACATTCGTGTTGTTGCCTTCTAGTGACACTTTTATTATCATTCTGGGCAACATCATTAACGCTAACTTCAGTATGATGTAACTTCTCTGACAAGGTGGCTTATTTTTAAACAGTCTACTTTCACTGTTCCCTCAGTCTCTGAATTTAACTTTCTGTTACTTTTCTATCTGTTTAACCCCTTGTAGTTCTTTATCATTTTTCTTAGTGGTTATTGGACTGCGTCTGTTTATGCACTTAGTGATTTCTGATTGACATGAATGCCGAGACTCTAAGGAACCTCCGGTACTTTTAGTGTTTATTCTGTTCAAGTTCTCTACATCTTAAATGATGAATTCATGTTAAAGGTTATCCATGTTCACTCACATGAGTGACGACGTTTTGTGACGTTTAATAGCCAGCTGATTTTTATATAAATGAAGGCGAAATGGGAAACCACTTTGTTTAATATAGTACTAATAATAGCTGTTGCTATTGATTTTATGTATGATACTTGCTTAGTATTTCAGGCTTCTGCTGCCATTACTCTGAAGAGAATTTGAGAACTTAATAGGTACACCAATTCCTGACGGTCTTATTATTCTCGTCATCTCTGATATGTTCTACATGTATGGTAAGATAGTTGGTTTGTTGATTTCTGTGGATGCCTTCTTGGTCAGTGATGATTTGGATAAGCATCTTCTCATGAAGCTGCATGAGTAACCATTCTTCTTCAGGAAAGTTATCAAGCAATTTTATTTATTCATCTTTCAAATAAATTCTTTACACAACTAGTTTTACATGTTGTTAGGTTGTTGCTATTGTATCCAAGGATTTGGTGTCTGTGCGTAAGCTTCTTATAGGAAGTTACATAACCCCTGGTCAGGATAAACTTAACCAGTCACAGAGAAATCTGGATAATTCACTTTACATTAAACTAAGTGCTGACGTTAGTATATAGAATGATAAAGGTGAGTTAACGATTAAGCTGTGCAGCCTACATTTACAACTTACACATTTGTTTATCAAACTGAATACTTCGAATGCTATGCATGGCTTCTTATGAGATGTTTCAACGACAAAATGATGTTGTCTAGAAAGATATTAAAAGCCTCATAAATCAACCATAAGGCAACCAGTTGATGCGATAATTCAATCCACTATATTCATCGAAACAGACTTCGAATAGTGTAATTTTACAGTGGTATGAATTAAATTGGAGCCGAGATATACCTTATTCCTGTGGCATGCTTAAACATTAAACTAGCAAAACTTTCTCATCGAATACATAATATATATATATATATATATAATATATATATTTCTTTAAAATATATCTCCAAACCGTCTTGTTATAAGAGGTTGAGCATTTACTCAATTTTTTCAACCAGCCATTTTTCAAGTTCGCATTAAAATGAAGAAAGTCATCGAAATTGATGGCAGTACTCCTATAAGCATATAACAGCACATGAGATAAATATTTCTGGTATAAGTGGCCCAAATCGCAGATTATCACGCAAGCTGAAGGAAGTTCCACCGCCTAGCTTACGCACATTATTTTATTCACTCACGCCTTCAGATCAGACGACAACCTAATAACAGCTGGTGATCACATCTTATCACCTTGTAATATTTTTATTATTAACATTATCAGGATTCTAGAATTACTTCGTTTAAAAACGTTTTACAGGGGGTAAATTTAATGGAGTATCACACTATAAGAAGTTCACAGTACATCAATTATTCCGTCTGGAATAAATCAGTGGTTAATATTGTATATTTCTTTTAGTACTTTATATCTATACATTTCAACTTCGATGAGATACATTATAACTTCGCTTCAAGATTACTGAGACTTTTATTTCAGTAGATTGGGGCAAAAGTTTCTCACATGTGCTATTTCAAGAAATTTTTCAGTCCTGCACACTAACATAATTTCTATGGCTTAATTTATGTTTATTTCCTTGTAATTGTGGTATGCAGTGAATGAATGCTATGTAGCTTACTTTCTTACCAAAATCCTGCACTATAAACAGATCAACAAAGTTTCCCACTTATAGGAATTCTCTTTACTTCTAAGCAGATTTCTACACAGATTGACGTTATATGAAGAGACTTGAAGATTCAAAGTTAGATATCTGGTGATGTTGTGCGTGCCTACTGTTGAGAATCCCCATTGCCGGACGAAACAACTATCCAGTGCTCCCAGGTTTTTAATATTTTTCCCAGTGGTTTCAATCTATGATAAATACTACCTTTGATATTTACTTTACTCTAGTGAATTCTTTCTCTAACCAGTTTTTATGTGCAGTATATAGAATATATGAATTTATCGATATTTTTCGGCGTCAAATATTATTAGATCTAGGTTAACAAATATTATCTGAATGATGGTGACTGTTTCACTTTAATAACAACAGAACATCAAGAGAAATTATTTTGAACTTTTTATTTACTAATGCAATATTTTGTTAACTTAAATCAAAATTCGGAACACAAGAAGAGAAGAATAAACATAAGAAGAAAAAAAAGAAAACAAGTGAATACAATCTTTAATTTTTAAAACATATACTTTAGTCAAGGTATAAGATGAATTTCTAATATATGTAGGAGAAGAGTAAAGAAAAGTGTTTCCCTCAGCTGATGGCTATCAAACCTAAAGAAGCTGTCATTATTATAATGTTATAGAGAGAATTGTTCCCGAATTTCAATTTTTCAAAATTAAGTCAGCTATTTATAGTGAATCACTGATTTATCTTTAGAACTGTTTGGTACTTCTAAATGATACTTCATATTACAATCCAAGGAATTCTCGATCTTCTGGACATAGAATATAAGGATTCTAAAAAAAAACAAAAATATCATTATTAGTTTATTCAAAGTATACTCCAGTTATTAGTGTAAAGTAACATTCATTCATTATGATAATTTGGTTGGTTCTGACTAGCAGAAGAAAAACGTGGTCATTGTAGATGGAATTAATAGGTAATTTCCAATACTTTCTGTGATCTCGCTAGTAGATACGTAGGTAGGTCTATTTAAAGTTTCTCCAAAATTTCAAAACCCACAGCTTATCATAAATATTCATTACAAATAGATTCTTCATAAACTACGTCATTCATCTGATGTTTTTACCGACACTGAAAATAAACCCTTCTTCAGTAGCTACCGGCTTTTATTTCACAAAACATTGTAGGAATCATCAATTCCCTGTTGACCATAGGCGAAAAAAATGATTTCATGGGTAACAGCGTCACAGAAAGTAAACCAACTTACAACTTGTTATCTTTTTGCCAGATAGAGCCATCAGTAACATAAGCAGTAGGCTGGAGTGTTAACCACACCAGGATTACCTGGGAGGCATCTTAAAGTATATGACTAAGGAATGCAAACGCAATAATATAGTCGATGTCTGAAGACTGTGGTAGTAAATGTCTCGTTTCAAATAACTCTCAGATATCGTTCGAAAAGCCAGAGGACATTTGGTGAAGATTAATCGTATGTATGGTGATTTCTTCGTTAATGATGTAAAATGATTTGCTTTGGTTAGTTTACATTGGAAGTAAGAAAACAGTTTGACGTACAGATGTTTAAAATGTGTTATTATAAATTCTCAATGGAAACTATGGTAAATAACATTGTTATCGAAGATGTTTCACCTGTTTATTAGGCAGTAACTTCTTACAGTAAACGAGAAAGAGTTGGAAAGAATACTGTAGATCTGTTTGTGCCAGCTCGGTTTGATTCTCTATCTACAAGTCCATAGAACTTTCCTAGTGAACACCAAAGACTCATCGGAGAATCAGAAATAATGCTTAAAGACTAAGTGGTGTATTTTTTACCTTCAACAGCCTCGCCTCACAACCATGCAACTTCCAACAACAATATTAATATGAAAAAAGATTTGTACCCATCATCTTCGTGCAGTGATAACCACAAGACTTCATTTGTAGTTGGGTAATATTTGAATTTGTAGCTATGCAACTGCCGAAACAACCTTTCGTGTCTCTGCCAGGTCCGTGTGCAACATTTTTCCTTCTACTGCTTGATGAATGTATCTCATTCAAGTGAAATCATTAGTTAACTAGGGTATACCGGTTAATACAAGTCAGCCAGCCAGATTCAGGTGATGTAAAATAAATCGGCTGTATGACATGAATTTGCTCGGGTTCATCACCAATAAGCTCAGAAAGAAACAAGAGAAATGGCTTTCTGGCGAAACCTACAAATTAGCCTGAGTGGTTTCTAACTACTCATTTCATTCAGTAGTAAGTTTTGATGGAATCAGTAGTATTTTAATTAATTTCTGAGGTGATAAATAAATTTGATTCTGTCTATTTCATCTAGGTGAAGACAGCAAAATATTAACAAATGTAGGTTATTTTTCGGTTTAAGGGTTACAATCTACATTACCACAATTCAATTACTTCATTATTTGTTCTTGTAAACAAATGAAAGCGTTCAGGTGAAAATAATATGATACGTTATCCTTTAAAGGTGGCATCGTTTTGTCTCTCAGGGGATTTTCAGTAATCTGATGTATTTCTCATTAGATTTGCATATTCATGATGTACAGTGTGCGTATAAATAGAATGACAGAGTTTTGAGCCTCATATCAAAATGTACACACATTGTAATTAGTCTTCAGTAATATTACATTATGCTGCAATCTCGTAATATATTTGTAATAGAGTTCGAATGAAAAAAAAAAGACTAAATGATACAGTTTGATAATGGAGTATAAGCAGAGATATATCTGTAATTACTAAGGTCAAATAAAACCTGGATCAAATGATCAGTAAAAGAGCTTTTTTCCAACAGATATCATTTGCAATACTGAAAACAACGAATGAACACAAAGTTGCTTAGGTTTTTGGTTACAACTGTTCACTAAACAACTCTTTGAAAAACCAAGAATTAAAATCGAAACCATAAGTTTATGTAAAGGGCAACACTTTAGTGATGTAAGGTCTAAGTACAAACCAGTTTGTTCGTTGGTCAGCTTTAGAGATCATTTACTGCTACTTTAGACTTTTGTGGTCTCATAAGCTATATCTTCTATGTCGCTCCGAAATTCTTATCACTATAAATTTAGATGCTACTTAATCACCTTCAACTATTCTTGGATTCTGTATTGTTACTAATTCTTCCAAGAAAAATCATTGTTGCGAGCAGAGATTTCCAGAATACAGTTAAACTGAAACGTGTTACATGTCTATACACAGGTGGCCACTTTGTTAACAAATCAGCTTTAATTATACAACTCATCGTGTCTCAACCTAATGAATAAATGAGAAGAAAACGTTCTGTTCTGTATAGAATTCATCAATTAAATTTTTCATCAGAACTAGAAGCCAGTATTTATTACTTAGAGCTTAGGAGCATAATTCAGCAGTCTATTACGTAATTACAAAAGTCTTCTTAGCCCTTATAAAAACTCACTAAGATCAGTTGCCGATGCAAAAGTAATTGAGAATGAAGACTTATAACGTTGTAACGAATCGATATTTTATGTGCAAAATCCAGTCTTTTAAAAACTAGCCAGAATAGTACAACCTGTGACCACCTTTACAACCTTAGTTTGCTACCATAAACTGATTTCTGCCAGCAATAAATCTTTTCAACTCCAGGCTTGTCTGGCTTCGGAAATTATGTCGCTTGCTAAATTATACTCACATTGTGGAGATGAGCTGCATTTCTTTCTAACAATCTTGCGATGAACGAGTGAAACTAGAATCTCATATTTTGACGACTTCATCACGTTTCTTCTGTTGACAGAATCAAGATAGCAGAAAATAGACAAACTTTTCAAAATCTGGTTTTATAACTCGAAGACAAGTTCATCAAAAGCAGATGATTCAGTCATTCAAACTAAACAGTATGTTTTTTCTGGAAAATAAGTACTGTTTCCAAAATAAACATTCTTCATGCAATAAATATGCTTTTATTGATCTATAACATTTTGTGTCATGATATTCTTAATTCGTTGTTGGTGGCCAGAAGTGGAATTTAAGACACACATTTTGTCCTATTTGGGACTTGTTAGCCGAAGGTATGTTTAACCCAGTGACAGATGGTGTTTCCACTGAGACCCAAATAAAGCGAAGCGTGCATCTTAAATCCTAACGTTAGCCATCACTTACAAATTATAACATAACGAATCTTTGAGTAATATTGAGGCACACCAATGACAGTCTCTAAGCAAACAGATGGAGATGAATTAGATCCAGTAAAGTAAAGGAAGATTAGAGATAAGAAAAAAACAGGCAGTCTTTAATTTTTTTTTTAACCCTTGGTGATCAATTATTTGTCCTGTCTTAGTGATGCTGACAAGCAGTAAAGCTTGATGTCATTCCAACATTTCAACATCCGATAGTATCTTTTTATTTTAAAATTATTATTTCATAGTAAAATATACATCAAAAGTAAGAAACAACTCATACATTTACATACGGACACACTAACCTCGGTAATCATTTCTTTAAGATGAGTTGGCATACTTAAACACTTCGCTGATCTTCTTAATCGAAAGAAATGGTAAGCTCTTTTCTTAAGATCTGTATTGTCATGCTGATCTTCGGCATCTAGAAAAATAAAATGCATGTAAGATAAAGATGACCTTGTAAGAGATCTTTTATATCCTTAAAAATAGCAAATATAGCTTAATAACTGGATATTTCAAACGGTCCTCTAGTAATTTGAAAGAAAGCACTTTAATATTTGGTCAATACTCGAAATCGAGAAAACCCTCAACAGACTGGTTAATTTAATGACTGCATCTACTGTGTGTTGGTTTGGGAAGAAACATAAACTATCATGAACAATGGATAAAAGCTTTTTAGTCTGGTTCGGTTGTAGATAGTTCAAGAAACTGTGATTCATGGGTATAGGCACTTGATGTTCAACCGATAAGATATGGGTCAAAACTCAGCTCTAATCACTGAGGTTCGGGTAGCCAGGTAGTATCATTAGCCCTCACACAATAAGAATAGCCCAATGACGACTGTATGAATTTGTACAAGGTTACTCAGTGGAAAGTGATTCGATTCGGTTCGAACTAGAGAATAAAAGATGTAAACCCTTGGTGTTGATTTTTTTCTATAAGGCTAGAAGAATTAAAATCGAAGAGAAATTAAATAGCGGAGAGTACATGATTGTGAATAATAATCACAGAGCATACTTTTCAGTGGTAAGCATTTTGAGGATACTACTTAACATAGAAGACAGATGGATCCCAAATAGATGGATATTTCTTACTTGGCATGTATTCAGTTACGGACGGAAAATCACACTTGTCTAACTGAAATGAAAATGTACCACAGGCATAGACTTTACAGGTGATCTATAAGTTCTGACTGGTTTTATCTTCTAAAATCTATTTATCACTAATATATCAAAAAAGCTATGAAGGATACTATTTCGAATGAAGGAGATGTTAAAAAACAGTTTAACAACCACTACTAGGTAATATAGATTGACAATCCCCTATAAGATCAATAATCTGAGGAAAACTGGGCCACTGCAATCCATCCATTAACACAACCACACAATAGGGAGGGATAAAACCACTGTACTTAAGTCCAGTATAATCAGATAGAGAAAGAGATCGGTTAGTGAATCTGTGTTCGTCGAATCAACACTCAACAAATTTAATATGAATGGTACAGCACCTATGGCATCGATATGGAAAGTGTTGTCATCAGTAAAAACACAGAACACAAAGTGACACGACCTAAAATTCAGATATCGAAAGTAGTATAATTACCTTGATAGGGTTATGAGAAATAATTTATACTCGAAAGTGTATTCTAAGTGAAGACCTTGGATGACAGTCACGCTATGTCGTAAATTGACAGAAGTTGGAAATTGTGAACCGCTGGGAACGGACCTGGTGGCTGAATGGTTAACGCGTTCGCCGTAAAACCTGGAGGTCCTGAGTTTTGTCCCCAGCCAGGTCATGGGTACGTACTGCTGCGTCCCATTCTGGGACAAAACAGCTGTCCAATGCTCCCAGATTTCCAATGGTTCCCCAACTGACGTCAGTCCATGATGAATATTACTTCTAAATTATGCTCAAAATGTTAGCAAGTAAATAATACTGTATCACTGTGTGCTGTAAGTCAAATAAAATAATCTAATATGGAATTACATTCTACCAGAGTCTTCAAGTTTTACACTTACATACACCTTCCTACTTTCGCATAACAATATCTAAGCTATGAAAGATATCACCTTGATAATAGTACTAATTAAATTGGAAAATTTAACTCAGACTGATAAATCGATGATTGTTTACAGTAAGTTCTGGATATTTCTAAAATTAGGAATTTATTCAGTCACATAGGTTTTTTGGATAAAGTATTAGATGATTAACTAGGCATTTTCGAAAATACAAAGTCATTTTAAGTTGGTATTCACCATTCACTGTCATTAGTTGGAGAGCCACTGGAAATCTATAGTCGACGAACACCTGTTTCATCCTAGTGTGAGACCTCCAAGTACTGCCCACCCAGGAGCTCACCAAGGATGGAATCCAAGTTAACACCTGGTTTGAGATAAGATTTTTCGAATTTCTAACGAGAATTTATAACTAATGGGGGGGGGGAGGTCAAACCAGGTAGCACAAGAGAATAGTTACTTAACTATGGTATTTGATGAAGGTCTTGTTATATCGCGAACTGACAGCAGTAGGAAAATGTGGACCAATGATTCTTCAACCGATAACATTCCTTGATGAATACCAAACTGAAATCAATAAAATTCACATGAACCTTCAAAGTGATTTGTTAGATTTCAATTGTTTGTGAAATGATGATGAATAAATATTAATATTCTCTTCCAGTTATTTAATTTGATATTATCAGTCCTTGTAATGACCAGGAGGAACAATTAAAACAACAAGCGTCATCATCATCATCATCATAGTCAACTACCATATCATTAAAATCGAAATCATCGTCAACTTCAACACCAGCAATAGAAGTAGTAGCAGCAAAAATGTGACATTATTACCTTCGAAATGCTTTTTATTGTCTAAAATTTGAGTGAAATTCAAGTATTAAATTCAAATAGAAACAATGCACAGAAGTGAATCTACCCTTGTTTACCTGCCTATTATTTTTTTACAACTTATCAAAAAATTTTATACTACTTATCTTCCAAATGATCCTTAACAGTTCTATAAAATTAAAACAGTGTATACACGTTTGCTTGACATAAATAAGTCAAATTTTATCAAACACTATTAAATTTAGATAATAAGGAGTAAGACTAATTTACTAATCGTGTATTGTTTTCAGCTTTAATATCGGCTAATCTCTTGTATTCAATACTTTACCTTCTACAAATATAAAAGGATATATATGTAAGAAAACAATTTTTTCGAAAAGATTATAACAGCCGGTGATTGAATTCTCTATAAAGTCATTTTTTGATAGTTATTCTATAATTAGAGAGAGATGGATAAAAGTTTTGAAGGAGAGGAGAAAAAAACAAAATATTTTGAGGTCAGTATTATTTCATGTTTTATTTTTCATGCTCAAATGAATTATTCAACAGAAATGAATACATCTCAATGAATTTACTGTCCAAACACGATTAATATCATGACGATAATAATGTTATACGTTTTCTTCAATAAATATCACTTAGATATGATTTGTAATAGAACGAATGATAGTGGCAATCATAAGCGATAATTTAAATTTAAAAAATAGGGATAAGTTCATAGTTAGTTGTTCATTGTCTAAACGTTATGATGAAATGATCACTTTTCATCATTATTAATATTTGTCGTTTAGGTTCCTAGTGAAACATAGGGCTTAAGTAGCACTTTGCCACTTCACTCCTCTCTCTGCAGACTCTTTAACCTGAGTCCACGACTGCCCACAACCTCTCATTTCATCCTCACAACATCTCCTACATGTCACCCTCGGACGCCCAACTCGTCGCCTCCCATCTGCATTCCACTTCATGGCCTGGCCTGACCTGGCACGTGGTGTCCCCAATCGGTCTTCTCAGTGCATGTCCAATCCAATCTAATCCATCTCCACTTTCTTATACTGCATATTTGTTGGACGATCGGTTGATGGTTGGTTCATTGCCAGCCAGCCAGCCAGAGTTCCTCCTTGCTTATTCTTTTTGACCTTCTGCTCTGACCTTCAGTATCGAGCGAGTGTAGGTGGCAGCTGTTGATGAATGTCTGTAGTTTGTTGGAAATGTTTTTCGAAACGCCCCAAGTCTCCCAACCATCACATAGAAACACTGACTGATTTGACTGAGATTAGTGTTGAAAATCCGGATGTTGTTCACGCTTCATGCTGGGTGGAGTTGACTGGAGTGCAGTAGATCTCTACACTGATTTCACTTCAATGGAGGCCTGTCTTACTGTCTTCTTGATCCTGGCTTTGACATCCTCATGTATGTCGCCGCCTGTAGTTGAAACGACGCTGCCTAGGTAAGAGAAATAGAATACTTCTTTTGGGTTTCTCCTGTTCATGGTGCTTGTTGTTCTTGTTGTTTTGTTGTTGTTGTTGGATGGGTATCTTCATCACCTCTGTCCTCTCTACGTCCACCTGAAGTCCCGTCTTCGGTGCCTCGCCTCTTCTGCCAACTCCTTTGTTCTCACCTGTAGATCTTCAACTTTGTGCAACATTAGATATCAATCATCATCGACGGCAGAGAAATCCAAATCTTCTTCTGGGTATTTCCATCGGTCCAGTATGGGTATGTCCATCTTCTCGCTCCTCACACCTGCCTGTTGCATGTTCCAGTCGAGTCGAGTCAACCACAATCAGGAAGATCATCGGTGACGATACTAGGTGGCAACCTTGTCTTAATCCACTCTGTCCGAACTTTAAACACATCACTGAACTTTGCAGTCTCAACCACTTGACATGTATCGTCGTCATATAGTGAATAGCTGCCACATGAGGTTGACAAAGGTTTGTGGCACTTAAACCGTGGTGTTGAAGCAGCTGCCTGCCAAATCACTTCTCCGTCGACACAGTTGAAGGCCTATTCAAAATCGATGAAGTTGAGGTTGAGTTGAATTGACAGTCATTCTATGCTCTGTTCTATGATGATACGTAGCGTAGCGTTGTGATTTGATCCATACATGATTTGTTTTTCCTGAAGCCAGCCAGACTGTTCTGGTAGTAATTTTGAATACAGAACATCTTTTAGTCTCTCCAGGATGATGCGGCTTAATATTTTGCTTGCTTGGGGTGAACAGGAGTGGAGTATGCATGATACTGCACCAGTTATTGCGAAGATTTGGGTCGCCTTTCTTTCGGAGTTTGACAGAAATCATCATTTAGATGCCACAATCTCATTTTTGAAAACACATGATATTCTTCTCTTCAGCAATTGAATAGATGAGTATTTGTACATTTTTGTGGTTAATTACCGTCGCAATTCTTATTTCTCAAATCTTACGTGTTTGTCTTTGATGTATATCAATGAAAAATAATTCAAAAGACATTTTCTAGAGGTAAAAACACTGAGTAGGACTTTTATGAGTGAACTCATACAAAAAAATAAAGTGTCTTGCTAACAGCGACAATCATTGTGTATGCTAGTTATT